AAATAAATTATTAATAATTTCATAAGTAAATTAAAAAAAGATAACAATTTCTAAAATAGAAATAAATAAGTATTAATTATTATTTTATTAATTAAAACTAATCATCAAAAATTCATTTAATTATTTAAGTAAATTAATAATTAATAGAAACTAATAAATTAAATATGAAAAACCACTAATAGAAAATTAATTAATTACTTATGAATGAAAATAATACTGACAATTAAACTAAATTATTTAAATTCATAAATAAATTATTAATAAAGTAATAGTTATACAATATAGATAAATAATTATTAATTACATAATAACTAATAATTTATTTAGTAAGTTAATACTTATTTAATAAATTATTTCAACCACTTTACCAATTTTTTTTGCCTCAAAGTATAATTTTTAACCCTATGTGTTTTAAAGTACTGAAAGTACCCTTACTTTGCTACTTTTGCCATAAAAACAAGGGTGATCATTTTAGCAAGTTGGAAAATTTCGCTCTTGGACCTAGATTTTGTGTTTAAGCCTTAGCCAAGGCTCAAGCCCTCATTAGAGCACTTGGATTTATCACATTTTAGCTACCATCATTGGGTTAAACCCCATTGTATGCTTTGTTTTCATACCATTTCAATGATGTGTTGTTTCAAACTGATAAGAAAGTTGTGTTCTAATTAGTTAGACCTCTTAGTATATCAACAATCATTTGTCTTAGAATAGTTGATATTTTGTATTTTTGTAGTTTGAGAAAATTATTGGGGGAAGGACATTTGATGTTTTTGTTGCCTAATTCATTATTTACTTGTTAACTCTTGCAGGTTTAAAAGAAAGTGGTATAACATTAAAGCAGACATTATTGGTGTTGGATGCATGAGCAAGGCATTGAAGATTTTATTTTTTTGTTGAAAACACTTATTCATGTATTCTTTACAAATTTTCTTTTTTTTTTGTTGAAAACATTAATTCATGTATTCTTTACAAGTGACAAATGTACTTTTGTAATAGCATTTGATAATTTGAATAAAAATATATTTGTTTATAAATTATTATTTATTTGTATAGCATGGGAACAAAGAGTAATTTTACATAATCGTTGCTATAAATATGCCTTTAGCAATGGTTATTCAAGATTAATTGTATATAGCAAGGGTTTTAAATAAAAACTGTTACTATAGATATAATTTAGCAACGGTTTTCTTTTTAAACTGTTGCTATAAGTGTTTTTTAGCAACGGTGTTCTTAATGAACTGTTGCTAAAGGCTACATATGGCAACGGTTTTCTTAATGTACCGTTGCTAAAAGTTACATATAGTAATGGTTTTCTTAATGAACCGTTGTTATAGGTATCATTTAACAACGGTTTTAGAGAATAACCGTAGCAACATATCCACCTTTGCACTCTTTTAGCTACGGTTTTGTCCGTTGCTATAACCATTTTAGCAACGGTTGACCTAGTGTCCGTTGCAAGAGATTAAGACTGTAGCAACGGTTTTATTTATCCGTTGCCAGAACCTATTGCCACCATGGAAAAGGCATCGATTTTATATCCGTGGCTGGTCTATTGCTATAGGTCTCTCGCAACGGTTTTAAGGACTTCTCGCAACGGTTTTGTCCATTGCTAAAAGTCAAATTTCTTGTACTGCATGGAGGATTCAAGTCTCAAATCTAATGCGTTAATTTTATAAGAAACCATAGGAATAGCCACATGTCAAAATCTTTCATCAATAAGATTTTTTTTTAATAGTCGTTTATCAATAAGATTCGAACCCCTTTTCCTCAAACCACGCTTGCTTGCCTCTTTTCCGAAAGGAAAAAGAAGTTTTTAGAGTTACTACTACTTGCTAGTTGCTACAGGCGTTTAAAGTTTAAACAGCTCCGTCTCTTCCCAGACAAAGGAAAGAATAAAGGAAGAGAATTCCTTGATCCACCCTTCACTAGCTACGTGTTTTTTGTCTGAAACCATGGGCATTGGGTACGATGAACACCATCAACCAAGGCTTCTCTCTACTGTGGTCCGAATATAACTTTTCTATAGTACAGGCGAGGTTGGTGATTTGTCAAACTCAAGTTATAATTGGACCATCCAATCCAAAGGTCTTCACCCAGATTCAAAGTTTCTTGAAGCTTGAAGCTGCCTAACTTTTTCTTTCATTTCCCAAGTTTATCTGATTTTAGAGATGTCAATGGTTCGGGTCTGGTTTTAGACTGAGACAATTATATATTAATCAATTTTGATCGGTTCTATAGACAAACCCAGAACCAAACGATGCAACCCGATTAGGCCCAATTATACTTTGACATGCATCTATCTATAATTATTTACATTTGATAACAACAACTTAAAACTTACAATCAATGTATCATAAAAAAGGTAATCGATCAAGTGGTATTCATAGGGTGTTTTAATTTTATTGGTCAAAACTCTTTTGATATCATACATTTTCCCTTAATTACTTCTTTGTTAATATATTAATCTGATGCCGGTTGATAAATTGATTGTAAGTTTTTCAGTATCATGTCTTTCCGGTTAATAAAAATACAAATACTTTTAACCAAAATTATTAAATATATAATAATCAATTTACGATTAGTCTTAATCGGTTTGAAGCAACAAGAATCGGTCTTGACACAATTACAAAACGGGTCAAAAACCACATAACCAAAACCAGAACCAATATAATTGATTTGTGATGATCATTAGAGCGGAGTTTAGCCCTCAGACCTTCAAATAAATCATGATTATCTATATAATAAAAATGTCCGACTCCATAAACCCATGATGTCTGTTTTCTGTTGGAGCTTTTCTCGATCTCTTGAATCTTACCTGAAACCTCGAAACCCTATCTCCCAAACATGATTAATTTAGTTGCTAAATAATCCCATATTAATTAGAACAAGAAAATGCCAAACCCAATAAGCAAATGGCACAGCACAGACTTGCAGACACACGTTCCATATTCCACCACTTCTTATTCCCTAAGGCTTCAATAAAATATTCATGAGGAAAATGTGTAAGAACAAAGTGAAGAAGCGTTGTAGAAGGAAGCTTAACTAGTAAGGAAAAATTATATATGGCCTTCACTGATTATTACAACTTTATTGAAGAAGAATAAGGGAAGCGACAGTTATCTCTATCAATGCCTTTTTTAAATTGTGTGTTCCTTTTTCATTCTCTCACATAAAAAAAATATTTGTTTCTATTGAAGAGATTCTGATGATCATTTCTTACCTTCTCATATGACCTTCTCTGTTCAGCCACCCACGTGGCAAACATCTAAGTGACTTGGGTGTCTACCATCTGATTTTCGATCTCATGATCACTGGTTTTCGGGTCGGCCGTCTAACCATTTGATCTCATTCTAACAAATAAATTAAAAAAAAAATAATTAAAAAATAAAAACAATAAAAACTGTTAAATGAGTCGATAGATCGACGGTTTAATCACCCGAATCAATGAATTATTAACTTTTTCAATGGTTTTTAGTTAAATATTAAATTTAAGATAAAACAAAACCAATTGTCTAAACGATTCCCAGGCCAAACGATTCGACCGTCCAGATCAACAGCCGTTCGAAAGCCTTGCTCTAAAGCTTTACTATGTTTGGAAGAAATAATTAATCAACTCTGCCAGCTCTTACATGCTTCCATGTATGTTGTAGTGACTGAATCGTGGAGAAAATCTAGCCTTAATAATTGGAAGAGAGCTAGATTCAATGACACAAGTGCATCTCTGTCGATACATCCAAATTATATATAGAGATTAGTAGAGGGTGTTTTGGTAATTAGACTCTTAATTATTACACCGTCCTTGTCAATTATTATTGACACGTGTCCTTTTAAAACAATTTGTTAGTCAACCAATCTCTATTGAGTAAGAGATGGGTTGGGAAAGGATCAAATTTCCAGCTTTGTTGGGTTTAGAGATTAACAGGTGTCTGTGGCAAGAAGCGCATCCAGATTAATCAGGGATTAAAAAAGATGAGTGATGTAATCACCAGTATATTGAATTATAAGATGGAATTTTCATCCTTCAAAGTTCAAAGTTAATCGAAACACGCATCAGGATTTAGGGGTTGAACACCTGATTACAAGGCTTTCTTATTTTTCAATTGGAGTTGAGTTGTATGCCACTAAGAGCCTACATGTGTCAGATAAATGATTTTCTTCTTAGAACAAATCTCGCTGAGAACAAATACAGAGGTCTTGTGCTAAATCATGAGCTCTTTAGTGCTAGAGTTACACTTCATTACTTCCCCAAAATTACAAGATTTTCATTATCAAAGGACACGTTGCTTAGTAGTGATTTTCCATCTGATCTGTTTGATCAAGGGAAAAAAGGTCATCTCCCTTTTAAGTGCGAAAACCAATTTTTACAATATTTTGTTCTAAAAGATTTGGGGCATTGATGAAAAATTTCATTTCAACTTCCCCACAAGAGAAGAAGAAAACAAAGAACATCATCAACCTCCTTGCCCTAAAGAGGCCCTTAAGGAAACAGGACAACCTAACTTTCTTTTGATTTTTTTTTTTTTTTTTGTGGGGCTCTTTTAATTCAGAACTAATACAGACGAAACTAATTTTCATATTCAATTATTGGGATCAGAGAAAAGCTGTTCTGGAGGCAGCTGTCCTAAAACTAATCAACAAAACCCATCAGAATTCTCTTATGGAGACACAGCCCTTGCAACAAAACCCCATTCTATTGAAACCTAGCTCCCTTCTTGACATTAATGGCTATAGATCCATGAGAAGGTTTCATCCAATGGATTGAGTTCAAGGAGGGCTCCACCATGATTCCACAGCCTCCCAACAAAAAACTAAAGAGATAAAGGGAAAGAAATAAGAATCAACCAAGGACCATTCTAATAAATACAGTAAAAGCACTGGGGCATTTGCAGTTCAACGGTTCAATTATTAGCCACCCAGTAGATTCGTCTTGTCCTCGTGTTCAGCTAAACCCCCTATAAAACCCCTCGCTCCCTCACTTCAAGCCTCAACCAACTTCTTTTCAAAATTAATCAGAACCCAATCACGCACAGTGAATAGAACTTCTCTCCATCGACTCACCAGCCCTCAGCTCCCTGATCTCTGTCTGAAAATGGAGAAATCACTGCTAGATTTAGAGAAGCCAATGAAACCCAGCTTCATTGAGATACCCCAGAAAGTAAAGAGTATCTCTTTGTCAGCTTTTCTCTTCTCCTTCTTCATCTATCTCTTCCTCTCTCATCCCTCCCCTGCCACTCTCCTCAAAGACACCGGATTCTGGTTTTTTCTCTCTAATGTCATCATCCTCGTTATCGCTGCTGATTCCGGCGCCTTCTCTTCCAAACAGAAGTACGATCTCTACGAAGAATACTTGAGAAACAGCAGAGTTAGGAGAGTTTCTTCATTCGTAGCTCAGCCGCCCGAGAACGTTCCTAAAGCTCATATCGAAAAGAAGCCAGAAATCTACTCAGAAAGAAAAATTCTGCCTGTAAGTATGCCAGAAGCCTCTCCGAAAGCTGAAATCCAAGGGATACCAAAAGAAGAAACTCCAGAAGAGCTTGAGACTTCAAAAGAAGAGACTCCAGAATCTGAAGCTGTGGAAGAAAAGACACCTGAATCTCATACAAAGGTCGACGTTGATGCCGAAACTCGTTTTGAGACAAAGGACATTAAACCGATGCATTACCGTAGTAAATCAGAGAAATCTATCTCTGATGAGATGGGCAATGAGAATACGAAGAATCTACTCAGGTCAGAGTCTGAAAAGCATGAAACGAGGTCAGAAGAGGAGTTAGAGGTACCGAAGGAGGAAGAGAATGAGTTCTCAACTATGTCTGATGAAGAACTCAACAGAAGGGTGGAGGAGTTTATTCAGAGGATTAACAGACAAATGCGGCTTCAAGAGAGCAGTAGCTTGAGAGGCTGGGAACTAGATAATGAGATTTAGAAGATTGAAGTATTTTTCTATATCTATTTTTTCTCCTTCAGTTTTTTTGTTTTCTTTTTTTTTATCCTTTTCTTCTTCTTCTTCTTCATCTTTTGTTGTGTGTCATCTCAGTGAGACTGTGAGAGTGTATATATTTTGGGAATCTGTAAGGGAAGTGTATTTTCCCTCGAAATCTCAAAAGAAAGTTTGAACTATCCTCCCTCCTTTCAGTGCTACAACTATTGTCTGCTTCTTCTTCATCATCACCAGAATTTGTTTGGGCAATCATAAGTTACAGAATAATTGAAATATTCAAATATGCAAAGGAATTTTCAAATATCTCCTTATTCTTGTACCTTTGTACGTACCTTCTAGTCCACAGCAACTCCAAAGCTAGAAATGGAATGTTTTAAATATCTTATTAAATAATTCCTGTAGCAGTTGTCCTCTCTGTAATTGTTTATCTGGTTCTTTCTGGGGAAGAAGAATTCTCTTTAAACCCCATTACATTTTCATATAATAACAACAACAACATCTAGTCCTCCTTGTTCACCTAAGGTGGTTCTTAGTTCATTTCCGACTGACATGTAATTAGTAATAGATGTAAAAAAAAAATTCTATTTTGGAGATACAAAAACACACCCACAAGCACAAAAAGAAACAGAAAACAGAATCAAATACATCTCTTACTGGTTAATTATCTAATTGACGGGTTCTGTTTTTCTTTTTTCTTTCTTTTTGAAAATCTACAATAGGTAAAATTATTATTATTATTATTACAACATGTGCCACAATAAAGATATTATTTGGTACATTGATAGACATGAGTTGTCTTTGTTTTGGCAATAAATATGATGATGGCTTTATATTTCTACAGTATTGTCTAGAGAAATTGACTAGTAGAGGTTAATTGTCATTGTTGTTTCATGTCACTTCATTCTAACAATTTTATTTGTCTTCTTCGGAAAGGGAGAAAAGCTTTCCTCATTTTCTCACCTAATGAAAGCATAAATTCAAGGAAAGAAAACACAATAAGTATACTGTAATTTTATATATGTGGGCTCAAATATATCGTGTCAAGACCTTGATCATGTTGGTCGGCAATTTTGGTTTTTATTTTCTTGCATACTTCTTTAATTTATTACAAGAACAAGCGTTAAAATTTTGATTGATAGGAAGCCGATCGAGAGAGATGCTCTTACTTGTAACAGTGGATTAGAGAAAACCATCTTTGTGGCTTTGTTTTTTTCGATATTTTTATGATACGAACAAGGATTTCCTCCTCACAGAATGGTTGTCATATACACGTTACCGTGTATTGGGAACATCTCCCCATGGTTTGAGAGTTTGAGAAGGATTATGTATGGAGGAAATCTGAACCAACATATCACACATAAGAGGGGATTAAGGAGTGGGGACAGATTTAGTAGGATGCACTTGAGGGCTATATTTCCGCCCCACAACACCCCACAGCACATTCCCCCATTCCCCATGTATTGAGAGCATCTTCCAATGATGACATTATCCGTTTTGATACCATCATCGAAAGATGTTTCTAATACACGGCAGAGATGTGCTGTGGGGTGGGAGGTTGTATGGCAGAAATGTGGTCTCCACTTGAGATAGGGATGTCAGCAGGGTGGGTTCAATGAGAGTTTTGTAAATTTAAGATGCTACTCGTCTCCTTAGACTTCCCAACTTATACTTTTCCAAAACTCGTAGTGATTTGGATTTTCTTCCTCCATGTGAAAATGCAAAACTCTCCCTGACCCCACCCTTCCCACATTTGAGGTTGGGGCAGGTTAGGTTAACAGGTTGGGTGCAGAACTCATATCTAATTTTATATTATTTCCTATTATATATAAGCAATAAACAAATAAAATAAATGAACTAACATTAAAATGTTTTATTATTTGATTTAAGCATATAGAAAATACATAAACTATCAATAATTATCTTTTACATAAAACTCAAAATACTATTAAATTCAACACTTAATACATAAATTTATATGCTTTCCATTGATATGCAGGTTGGACAGAACTAGGTTTAGCCTAAGACCATAAATTTATATCCCAAAACCAGTTTCTACCCCAAAATTTGTTTTTAAAGAAAAGAAAAAAAAACCATCCCATTGAAAACGGGGTGGATAAGGATGGATATCCACCAGGTAGAGTTGAAATTGCCACCCCTCCCATAAGCTCCATTGATCTTACCACAGAGAGCCTGCAGTATATGAAGGGATGCCAAATAACCATTTCAGCTACTGATGAGTCATTGACTTTATAAAATGGTCATCGACTCACTTGGGTCTCAAGGAATTCAATTTCTTGTGATTCCCCAAATAAGTTCAAAATATAAAAAATATCTGGTGTGATCATGCCCTATTGGGGTGTCATATACTCAATTAAATGATTTCACTATTTGATGATCAATGAAAACTGTAATATATTTAATCACAATATACATTACAGCGGTTGAGATACTGGATACAGAGACTTTAGCATTCAACAAATTAGAACAGCTGAACCTTCCCTACCCCCACCTTCTAATTTCTAACAGATAATCGTTGAATTTTTTCTTAATTCTAATTTTTAACTAAGTAAGCCGTCCTTAGGTCAACCAAATCATCAGAAATGAAGTAAATCAAAGACCTTTGGTGCAACTCATCATCTTGATGATGAGGTAGCTTTCTTGTCATTAAAAGAGTAAATAATCAAATAAACAAGCAATTAATTTCATAGATCCACCTCTTTCTATCATCCTCCAGCCATCTCCCCTGGGTCACCCTTAGATAAAGCAAGTGATTTTGATTTCAATACTACAGATGGAACAAATCGCCTATGACCTAATAGATGAGATAGTAATTTAATTTGCATAATTGAACCCAAAGTGGAGTATCATCATACCTACAGGGAAGGCAACATTGTGGCGGATTGGTTGGCAAACTTTGTTCACTATAATGTTGTATTTGATTCTTTCATGCCAAGTATATATCCTCAAGTATGGTTAGCTGTTTTGATTTCTGGGGATGCACTACATACCCCCGTTCTGTAAAAGCCCTTTTCCTGGATTTATCCAAAAAAGAAAAAATAAACCATATAATTACAGGTTTTTTATGATAAGATCAAAGGACATAATGTGAATCCCACTCTATTTCCACCCTTAATTCCTTATAACATGTAACATGTAATACAAAAACAACGGGGCACCTGGGTGATAAAAGATATATATTCAACATGGTGTTTCAATTGGACATTGCTCTTTGTGCTTAATTTGAAAAGATAATAAATACAAATATGTACAATAATAATACAAAATGCAAGATTTTGCACTCTTCATATTTACATTTATACTCCTTCCAAACTGAACCTTGGTAACAGTCACTTTGCTTATGATAAATATTTCTTTTAATTTCTCATGCAAATGATTCAAAGAAAAAACTGATTAATTTCCTCTGACCCTTACAGAGAAATAAAAACAATCTGATTAATTTTGGGATAGAGAAATAAAAAAAGAGGGTATCAGATGCATGGAATTAATGGCAAGAAATGAATTTATGCAAAATCTCTCTAAGTCTTGATCCAGAACGTCATACCACTCAAACTTTTTCTTAACTATCCAGTCCCCGTGATTCTTGTCACTTTCTTGGCCTGCTTTCTCAATTCTCTGGCTCTTAAACGCCACCAACATCCATCCAGCTCTATTATTAACATGGTTCGGGTCTCTGCTGTGAGCTCAGGCAACTAATAGAGAGATCTCTCAACCACAAACAATCAAACGTTTTTTGATTGTCTCTCTAAAGTAGACAACTCGGGCTGTCAACGCGTGGAAGGCTTATGCCGCAAGCCCCAAGCTGCAGCCACCGCCCTTCTCTGGTCTTTGGACAAATTGGGGTATTGGCGTATTGCAAGCCACATATTCTCAATACTTCTGTGGAAATATCAAGGTTAGGTAGTGCCACGTGAAGCGAGTGGGGAGAGATGATCTTAACCTACTTCATCTAGCCACGTGGAGAGGTTTTGTCTGATAATCCAGATCCACCGCCCAATCTCTCTGTTGGTTTCCACGTGTCACGTAGCCTGTGGGGCATGGTTTCCCCACACGTCAAGAAGCCTGCTGGCCTAAAAAGTTAAGGAAAGACTTTGCTGAAATAACAGGTGGACTACTCAACCCCACCTCGATTCCAACTATTTTTCCACGTGTAAAATCTATCTAAGCAAGTCTAAGTAAGCATTGTTACGCGTGGCAGTTAGATAGTGATGTTCAGATGAACGTGCTTATCATTCATTGGTTTCTTTTTATCCAATAGAGAGACTGAGAGTTTCCATGAAATCACGTACAGTACCGTAATTAAGGATATGGAACCTTAAAATCACAAGAAGACAAAGCTTGTAGACTGGCCCCAGTACCCCACTAAGCAAGAGTGTGCTTATTTGTAAATGGGCAGCTGGGTCCCGCAATAATATCTAAAAGTGTGGCGTAAGATGCAGGAAAAAGTCCACATTCATCAAAAAAGTTTCGGCCTAGTCATCCGACGGTGCTGATGGGGCGGCCAAATCTACGGTGTGACAGAGCCGGACATGTAACATCAAACCCATGATGCTCTGAACAGAACATAGGACCCATACAGTACGACTAGGTACAATAATTTTGCCATGTGTCTCTTTCCACTGAATAGATCCAAGCGTCCGAAGCTCATTCTCAGTAAAGAACCTTCATTTTCTTTAATGGCCATTTGATCATGACGGTTGAGGATCAATTGGATCCGATTATCCTGCGTAGGACCCGAATAAACTTCAGAAGTCAAAACTCAAAACACAGAATTCTTTAAGATCGGATAAAATATGGATCCACCCGAATGATTTTATATATAAATTTGATCTTATAAACGATTTCTGTTTTGATAATCAATAAACAAACCCACAATGAACGTTCACATTATTTTTTCTGATATTTTGGAGCTTTGATACAACCTTTCCGTCACCGACACATTAGTAGTTGTGATCAATTGGTATTTGATGCGTGGCTTAATTAACATCCTAACTGTCTGGCCCTGGGAGGGGACCCTTAAAATGGTGGATTCGGAGTGGGGATTTTTTTTTTTTCTTAAGAGGGAAAAAAAGGCAAAAGCTAATAAACGTGGATATGGATGCGGCAAAAGTTAATAAATGTGAGAAATTTAAGGCATAATATGACTTCCCTCCTCCACCCCTGGCTCCGCCTTAGGGTTCGG